GAGCCGATATCCCCGCCATTTTCAGTGAGTAATTGGCAGTTGAGTGTATGCGCCCATTCAATAACAACTGTCGCTCGTTTATAGCCAGCATGCAAAGGCGGATTTGGACAGGCCTTTGTGGACGAAATTCTGGGACACCGTCAGTGACAAGCTTCGCACATGTAATACAACTAACATTCCCTATCAATGCAGGATATTTTATTGCGCCGCTTGAGTCAGGCCAAGGGGCTCCCGAGCTTGCTGTCTTCAGTGTGAGCCGTGGTGATAGGATGGTTTCTCTGGTGGACGAGAGCTCGCCATTCTATTACCTCGACCAATCTCTTGATACAGTCATTTACTTCACGATAGGAGACTTGCAGTACCAATGGGACACAGTGCGCAATACCTTGTTGTCTCGGCAGGTCGGAACGGGTCCAAGTGTCTCCGAACTCGATTGGTTTGATGTTCCCCTGTATACGAACCCCGAAGAGGCCAGAGCGCTCGCAGATTGGCCTCTATTTGATGGCTCGTCGCTGGTCAACCTTGGTCACGGCGTCTCGAGTTGTCCTCTCCCATAGAAAGCGAAACTTCTTTCCTCTTGACGTTCCTGATATGCCACCGAACTTTTGAGATTACACCCGAGCTGAGGTTCTGATGTTTATTGTTTATTTGCCTGGCGTTTCAACGTCACCATCGTATATATTCTGGTACTTATAACTTATCCGTTAATTATAATCTCTGTTCGTAACCTACATGTATTTATGCTTACTGCCACATACACACAAATGACTTCCGGCATGACTTGGGCGGTGGGACTTAAGTAAGAGAGCCAGCGAGAGCCACCCTCCTTTCGCCCTCTCCACGACATTTTTACCCTGAAAATGACCAGAAACTAGGGGGACCCTAAGGGATGCGGCGCAGGCGGCCTAAGCTTCGGTGGAGTACCCTATAGAGGTAATAACGGTAGGCCATCCGAATAGTTTGATAATGAATGCATACATATTGTTATCAATAAGGGAATTCCTAACGAACCTGGTGTCTCGGTCGGTGCGTCCTAACCCCCACCCATTATATAAGAGAGAGGGAAAGAGCGTCGGGGTTTGATAATCTACATTGATGGCAACACCGGAGCATACTATTTCCCCCGCTCGTGCTGCATGCATGCAGATTGTCGTAGTTCCCTTGCCTTTTCGGAAAGGATCGCCGCGTCGGCACACGGACGTTTCGCAGCTTCTTCAAAACCGGGACGTAACGTATTCGGCAAAAATGTAAACCGAAGGACACGACTTACCCCCCGCCAGAAAACGCTACAATGACAAAAGAGACTGAAATTAAATACGAGTGTCTGCCATACCAAAAAGGAAGCCCCACGCGGGGCTCGAACCCGCAGCCTTGAGATGGCGCTTGCAGAAGCTGCATTTACTTGCTGAGAGGCTTGTAAAAGTCTCACGCTCTACCGATTGAGCTAGCAGGGCTGATTACTAGTATTGCATATTACAATATGGTACCAATACTTTTTCGGCGCTTATAATAATATTTGATATTCTGCCACAACGGTGGCTATACCCATCAACCCTTTCAAAATAGCCACGTTTGACACGAACTAAAACTTCACCGTTTCATTCAAATCCGGGTAACTCAGCAGGCGGGGCATGGAGAACCTGAATTACGTGGCATGTGATATTTTCCCTGGAATTTTCTCTGGCTTGAGCCTCCTTGTTGGCTACCACTGCATTCGAAAAATCCGGCCACCAATTGACTAGTTCTGCTGATTCCATGACTACAATTTGCCCCTCGCAACTCACGGCGGGCATTTGTCTCAACAATGCATGTCTAAATATCCATGACACGTCAAATTTTTGCATGGTTTGCAACCTCGCGCTCACAACTGCAGCGGCGTACAATGCTCACATCAAAACCTCACCCCACTCTCAAGCCTTGAATGCCTTGCAATGGCTCAAGTGTACACCGTGCAACCGACATTATCTCCGTGGCAGCCCCGAACAGACTAGTCATGAAAATACCAATGGCCATAGACAACAAGTCACTCACCACCCCGTCGGAGGCGACCCCCCGGTGGTGGAAATCCAAGCTCCTCCAAAACAAACGCGATGCGACGCGTGTCGTCAAACGTTTCCCACTTCCGAATATGACAAGCACAGGCGGAGCAGCGGACATATTACCCGAGAGCGGGTATATAACTATAATAGCGCCCTGTTGAAAAGTCAGGCAAATCAACGTGGTGTTGAGGTATCTGGTTCTCAGAATGGAATCGACTTGGGGATCCGCTCTCCCGCGACTAGTACGGACAGCGAGCCGACGACTATCTCACTGAAATGCGTGGGTCAAAGTCCAGTATCTCTCATTTATGCACGAACTTCATCGTCGATCGGGCTTCGGCCCAACTTTCAACTCTGGTGAGTAGTTTTCTACGTCTGGCCTTGTTCGAGTTCATCTCAATATTCGTTTTAGTTTCACGATCACGACCGTTCCACTCCCAGCTGTTATTGCGCCCGAGGATAGCATAGCTACCCAGCTCCATTTCAATCCTCGAGGTCAGCGTGGTCGGTTTGAGGATCGGCTCGAATTCGTATTCCGCGATGATAGTGGGACGTTTGTCATCACACGACCGGTGAAGGCCATAGCTGGAAACGACGACCTGGTGGCGTTGGCCCCAACGGCCCCATATCGTCGACCTCGTCGCGCCCGAGAAAGGGAAATAAATCAAGAAATTATCGACGTTGAGCGTGATCCTGAAGATCCTCCGCGGAGCAAGCCCAAAAATCGCCTTCCCTCACTGACTCTTTCAAGAGAAATGAAACAACTCCTTAACCAAAGCGTCACCGAAGACCAAATTCGTAGTTTCAGGGAACAGTTTCTTCCAGCAGAAGGTTTGACTATGGGTACATTTCAGCAATATTGGTCCAACTTGGTGCTCGCCGAGTACTTCCAAGCCGAGTCAGCGACATTTTGCATAACCTCCGTAGATTACTCTAATCGACTCTTATAGAACGGACCTAAAGGCGTTTGACATGGACGACGTTCGACTGCAAAGAACTGTGCGCCTGTATCGGTTAGTCACATCATTCATTACCTATCGTGAATTAATAATATAATCTTGGCTACTAGGTTGACTGTGCCGGGACTTGCAGAGAAAAGGTAAGCGGTTTTCAGCATGGCCGATCACTGTTAACCTGGGGCTGGATGTATAGGCCATCGGTACTCAAGGGCGACGATATCAAAATTCACCCACACAGCAAGCCGGACAATGTTTGGTTCAGAGGAATCGTCCGCAGTACAGAGGAGTCGACCATCCTGATATCGCTCCATAGAGACTTTCCATACGATTTGGCGGCGCGTTACGACGTCCAATTCGTCCTCAACCCAGTCTCATTCCGGCGAATGATTCAAGCTCTCGAGATGCCTGAAAAACGACCCAATATCCTATTCCCACGTGTCGAGGATATGGAGGGTATGTCCAACGTGGCCCAGAACCCCGACGAGCAAGATATTATATTGTGCAACCATATCATCGGCTCCAATGCCGAACAGCGCAACGCTGTAAGACAAGTTATTCGGTTACCTCCTGGTAGCCCACCATTCATTGTCTTCGGGCCGTGAGTCCATACCAGCTACCCAACTCTAACACTGACACTATCCTCCTATCTAGTCCTGGAACCGGCAAGACAGTTACGATCGTGGAGTGCATGTCTCAGCTCCTAAACAATAAGCAATTTCGTATTCTAGCTTGTGCACCAAGCAACTCAGCAAGTGATGTAATTGCTGAAAGGCTAATTGCTCTTCGAGGACTCGAAACCACGGAGCTTTTTCGCCTGAATGCTAAAGGCCGCCCAAGCAATGAACTTCCCGATGACCTCGGACCTTACTCTCTTTTCGCTGGCGATCACTTTGGTGTACCCTCCCTGGAGACTTTGGGTTCATATCGTGTCATCGTTTCAACATGCTCGTCTGCCGCACTATTGCTTAGAGCGGGCGTAAAACCAGGGGCTTTCACGCATATATTTATCGACGAAGTTGGTCAAGGATCCGAGCCCGAGGTTATGATACCCATATTGGACATGGCTGGCCCAAAGACGAACATTATCCTAAGTGGGGATGTAAGTCGTTTGACACCTCTAGAAATAAACTATAAAGTATTGACCATGGTGCGATGTAATAATGTAGCCGAAACAATTGGGTCCCGTTATTCGCTCGCCCTTTGCAAGGCCCTTGGGATTAAATGTTAGTTACCTGGAAAGGTTAATGGCGTCTCCAGCTTACGATGAGGTTACGATGAGAGGGATCTCGTGAGTTCTTTATACAGCATTCGCATATACTAACTCATGGATTCTGTAAGTGTGGCAAAGCTGCTACAAAACTTCCGAAGCCATGAATCTATCATTTCGTTCCCCAACGAGCAATTCTACCGAAACGAGCTCATCGCACGAGCCCCTCAAGAAGTGGCCAACAGT